GAGCGCCCCGGTGTGGCGGCAGCGGAGGAGCGCCTTCGGCTGGGGGAGCGGGGCGGGACAGGGCGGGTAGTGCTTGCTCGGTGCGGTCCACTCACGGTTCTCGACATATAACAACGAAACAAAGCAAAGCAAAAGGTTGCACACTGGCGGACTGAGGGAAGGGTATATACTTTTCCTAGTTGAGCTTTTCTAGCACTGAGAAGTCCAACCAAACTGAAGGCGTGTGGCTGCCGGGACGGTGGCACTCACGGTTACCAGGACGTGGCGCCCCTGCCGTGGAGTTGGCATCCTTCTCAGGGAACGGGGCAATGGTTGTGCAGTATTTCACGAAATTCGTGTCTTAATAATACATTTTGTTTCTGTCATGCCATACATGAAGAGTTTTGGCCGCTTTTGACAATACGGTTAAAATACAGCAAAAATTAGCACTGCATTTCTTGTTATGTAATTAAGTGGTTAGATCAGTTAAATAAAGCAAAATAATAATATAAACAAATAAATAGAAGACCTCACCAAAAAAACTACACCAAACAACCAAACCACACCCTTTGTGGAAAATTTAGTAGAGCGTTTCACATGTCCTTATACATCTGATATTTCTTTTGCTGGAATCTCTTCTTTCCTGAGCCTAGCTCCACTCCTTATGACCTGAAAGTACATCAAGAGGCAATAAACTCTGTCCCCTAAAAATTATGTGAACGCAAGTGAGTTTGGGTTTTTTGCTTTTTCCTCCAATTTCCACATACTTTGTCCTTATTTTGGCATATAGTTTTCATGGTCACACTTGCTACATAATTATTTACTTATTTAATGTTATAATTTAACAATAAAGATTAATATTTTTTATGTGTGAGATGCAGTGATAATTTTAGGTATGCAAAGTTTATTTGTATGTATGTGTGGATTTTTCACTGCATGATGTACTGAGCAGAAAGCAGGAAAGTGAAGTAGGGAAATAAAAATGGCATTATTTTTGAAAGATAAATTATTTTTCCTTTTTCTAGACAAATGAAAATGAGACCTGGAGAGGTCCTTATAGACTGCTTAGAGTCTGTTGAAGATACCAAAGGAAATAATGGAGACAGAGGTAATTGCATATTCAGGGAAATCGTAAACTTTCTGCTATTTAACCTGTGTAGGTTCATGAAAACCCAGTCAGTTTTCCATTGAACTCTGTATCAGTGATCTGTTACACAGAAGAGATCCTGCCTATTTCACAGATCTGCTTCTGAGTGTTTTCTTAAAGTTGTAGGAAGGTGATTCTTGTCTCAGAATTGGTTTAGAATTGAAGGTCTTGTAGGAATAATCCATTTATAAACAGTGTGATGCTGTTCTGCTGTAATCCTCTTTAGTGCTCAGTTTGCCCCACCCTATTTTTAACTGAATCAGTAAGGAATATGTAGTGGGCAGGGGCTGAAGCTGCCGGCCTGCTGAGATGACCCTGCAGGGGGTTGGATGTGCTGCTCTACAGGGTACAGAATGGAGTAAATTTGCATATGGCAAAGGGGTGAGGTTATTCATGAATACTGCTGTGATAGTTAACTCACTGCCTTCCACTTCTCCTCCCCAGAGCACTTCTGCACTGATTGTGTCTGCATTTTTACTGTAAGCATCTGGATTGAAATCAATAATGGTTCTTGGTTTGATTTTGAGGAGTGCTGGTATATATTAGAGGTTGCTTCATTTGTTCCTTGTTGGATTTTCTCTGCTACCATTTTAAACATTTAAGTGTTTAGTGATTTTTCTGGTGGGGTGTCCTGTGCTTTTCTTCTTTTTCCTGTAAAGGGGAAGGAATATTCTGTTGTATCAGAATATTTCATTTAATGGAATTTATTTAGATTAAAAATAGCTACTGTCTTTATCTCTAGGCAAATTGCTTGTGACAAATTTGCGGATCATTTGGCGTTCACTGTCATTGCCCAGAGTCAATCTCTGTAAGTATTACCTTTCGTTTTCTTTGTGGTGGCATTCACAAAGTATTGATTTCAGTACAGAATACTGAAGTATAGCTGTGTTGTTCTGTAAATTCTGAAATAAACTTTTACTAATGAAACTCTTTATAATATAGGAACTGATAATTCATAGCAAAATAGTAATATTCAATATTCAATGTTAATTTCTCAGAAAAGAGGTTGAAGAGTTCTTCAGGCATATTTTTTATTTGGTGGATGTGGGATTAATTTGGTTTTTTAGAAACAAAAATTTGAGCTTCATCATACATTGCTTTGCTTGTAGCTCTTGTTCCCACCTGTTTATTCACATTCTGCGTTTCAATTTATTCCCCACAAGTACCTGCCTTTCCATTATTTCCAGTGCTCAGTGTGGAGTCCCCTTCTGTGGAAATATTTATTGGATTGGACTGTACACTAAGCAGCCAGAGTTGGTCCTGGTTTCAGAGCAGCACTTGACCAAAGAACCTCCCAAGATCCTTTCCAACTAAAGTTAGTCTTCAGGTTTGTGATGAGGACCCAGAGCATTAATCACAAAGTATAATTCTCAAAATAGCAGCTAAAGCTGTGCTACAAAATTCAGTAATATACTTTGTAATTTTGACTGTTACTTTTCTTGTTCTCAAAACAATGTTTTTTTCTCCCTTGACTTTTAAGCTGTCGGTTACAACTGTGTTATAAATATAACTACAAGAACTGCCAACTCAGTAAGTTCCAAAAAATACTTCTAAAAATAATAATAAGCTGTAATTATATTTATACTTTTTGCACTATATCAACAATAATCTGAAAGTTTAGTTGCAAGAACCGTAATAGAATAGTGACAAAAGTTTTGTTTCAAAAGTGGAGACCTCTCAAATACATAGTCTAAATTGAACTGCATGCAACTGTGAAGCTATTTGTTTGACTTGCCACAAAGAGCTAGCAGGAAGATGATGTAGATTTCTTGGACAACCATATAATAACAAAATCAAAAATATTGTTTCAGTCATGATATTGCAAATTTAGAGCAGACAGGCTGCATTAGTTTTACTGTTGATGGAACTGCTAGTTGGTCAAAAAGAAAAATAAATTCAGTTGAAGAAAGCAGTAGATTAGTGGTAGAATCAAGATTACATTTCCATATACACTGTTTAAAACAATAACTTAGACAATAACTGAAGATTATTTATTATTTGTACAGTCAAGCTACTATATTGCCCAAATGTAAAATTTAATTTTTTCCTTACAGAAATTACGAGGGCAGACAGAAGCTCTGTATATATTGACTAAATGTAACAATACTCGGTTTGAGTTCATTTTTACCAATGTTGTTCCTGGAAGTCCCAGACTTTTCACTTCAGTTATTGCTGTGCACAGGTAGTGTACTTAAAATAGTGTTTGATCAAGGATTCAAATACAGGAGATTACAACTGTTGATAAACACAGTATATGATTGTCCATATTCAGAAAACTTTCCCAAAAGAGAACAATCTCTGGAAGGAAGGGGAAGAATGATCACAAGTTTTAGTAGATAACTGCACATAATGAAAATTAATGTGTTTTTATTCTAGTTGTTGATCACAATTTATACACCTCATGTCTATAAACTAACTGAACAAATAAGAGTATAAAGGAACTAATTTCAGTTTGCATTTTCTAGCTACAATTTCTGTCTGCAATAATTTCCCATATTTTCAGACCATGTAAAGGAAATGAAGAGTTAAATCCTGGTCAGAACTCTTTGACTACAGAACACTGTGTGCTTACACCTAAAGACAAGTCATCTGAGTGAATGTGTGCCTAATATATTACCATGGGTGTCTGTTCAAGAGCAACAGAATACTGACATATATATTGGATTGTGCTTGTGATTTAACTGGCACTGAAAAATAAAGGATTGTTAATGTCCATGCTATGTATAGCATGGGATCTAGAGAACTTATGCTTTGCAACAGAGGCTGGGTGATGACTGTCTTAAGGAAAAATAGTATAGACATGAACAATACAGGAGATCAAAAAGTCATTAAAACTGGTTTAAGTTTAAAGATAATTTCATTAAGGAAAGCTGGAATATACTTAATTATGTTGAAAAGTTTTAATAGTACTCATTCTGTGCAGTGTGGTGATAAGAAAAGCTGAAAATATACATTTCATATTTGTACTAAAGTAAAAATAGTAGAAAAACTGAACTACGTATGAACTAATATGTATTTTATATTTTTTGCAGAGCTTATGAAACTTCCAAAATGTATCGTGATCTGAAGCTGAGAAGTGCATTGATTCAAAACAAGCAACTGAGATTGTTACCACAAGAACAAATATATGATAAAGTCAATGGAGTTTGGAATCTGTCAAGTGACCAGGTATAGTAAAGAATCAGAATACATTGACTACAGAAAAGTTAAAATGTTTCAGCTTTCATCTAGCAATTGTACTCCTATAGTTTTGTAACTTCCAAGGAATTACCCTTACTACTGTTCATCAGCTGATGCATGAAGAGAAAAAGATCCCATATATTTGCTACTCACTACAACAAAATCTCCTTTTGACAGCCTTAAGTCTACATGATCTGGGTAATATGCAAGGAACTAGATATACAATTTCAGTTAAAAAGATATGAGTCTAAAGCTCTGTATGATACTGAAAGAAAATCATGTTTCTGAAGTGCTCTGCTGAACATTTGTGTGTTTACATGCAGCTTTGACTAAACAGTATTAAGATTATATTGTCTTTTTATTAATGAAAATTGAAAGTATTGGAAAGGATTCTGTGTTTTTTTAAAAAAATAAAACTTTAAGATAAAAATAGAAAACACATTATTTTATAGGGCATTAGTTGCAAGCATTTCCCGGAGCAGTGAAACAAAACAGGAGCTGATATTTCTGTCTGTGCAATTTTAGTCCAGAATAGAAATATGATCCATTCTGACAAGCTAAAAAGTTCTTTCCTCTACATTTCCTTGGCACACATCTCCTCAATTACCTAAGTTTAACCCACATGCCATTATACTTACGCTTTGTGCCAATTCCAGATCTGTACAGTTAATAACACTCTCAGATGCTTCATGTATTCCCTTGAGGTTGGCTGGGCTGTGACTTGATCCAGCTTTGCTGCAGTAGTAGGTACTCCCAGCTATTTTCATTGCTGAGGTTCTGGTAGCCTTTAAAGATTGGATCCTACTTCCTTGCAATCAATAGAAACATTTCAACAGGCTTTTAGTGAATAAATTATGCAGCTGTACCTTGCTTAATATGTAAATGGATAGCAGTAATCATCATGTTTGGGAAAAAAGCTCTGTACTTAAAGCAATTCTAACATAGCTTTTCTTTAATAGGGGAATTTGGGAACATTTTTTATTACTAATGTGAGAATAGTTTGGCATGCAAATATGAACGACAGCTTTAATGTCAGCATACCATATCTACAAATTGTAAGTATTTTACAACAACCATTTTGAAAATGAAACAACATATGTATAAGTCTTTGGTTAAAACTCCCAGCTTACCAGTATTTTATTTCAGAACCCTCATTTAGAGAGGAATTTAGTCTGGCCAGCATCAATCACAGAGTGTATTTCCTTTTCTGTCCAGATTAGTTGGGGGATTTTCTGGGCAAGTACAGGTGTTGAAAATGGCTTGTATTTCAATTTTTTTTTAATATTTACTCTGATGCTTCATGCCACCTTCATACACTGGGATTAATAATCTGTGAACCTGATGTTCAGAAATTTACTGTTACCACTTCTAATAAAACACTTTTCCCTGAGGTTTTAAGGGGTTCAGATTTGTAATGGTAAATGGGAGGGAATGCTGGTAGCCAAGCTTCCAGAGCCAGTAATTGTAATTGTTACAGTGTAAAAAAACAAACTGAAACAATGAGAGTTTTATCCAGTAATTACAAAATTTTTAACAGTGTTATACCTCTTTACTATTAGCGTTCAATAAGAATGAGAGACTCAAAGTTTGGCTTGGCACTTGTGATAGAGAGTTCTCAGCAGGTAAGAAGCTTAAATAGCCTTTTTCTATTGACTATATTTTTAATATACATATCTACACTATTTCTCTATATGCAATATTTTTATATTTATAATATGCAATATTTCTCTAATTCTGAAATGTCATGATCTACTTTTAAGTTACATAAGAGCATTCCTTCTATGTGGCCTTTTGAAAACTTAAAGTTCTCTTTGCACTGCTTGAAGTGTATTTTATGGTCAGTATGGCTATTGGGAGTTACAGTTTCTCTAAGTAAAGCAACAGTAAGCCAGCATGACTAGCTTGTAACTGTCAAATGCACTGTATTCTGACAGATTATCTGTGATCTAATTAATTCTGTACTTAATTAAGACCACTGCTTTAAATATTTTCATTATTTCTGTGTATCTGAAAGCTCCTTTAATAACATCAAGACCTATCAAACTCAACATTTGCTGAGTGGATGGGAATAAATCATTAATATCACTTCTGAATTTGTCCCATCCTTGTTTGCTGGTGGTTTTCTGTATAAGGATTTTGTTCCTCTTTTATAGAATGGACTAACAGTTAAAAGTTGATCTACCTCACAGAGTAGCATTGTCATTGTTTTAATTTCACCCATGATTCAAATTTTCTCAGCAAGCTGAAAATTGCTATCATTAAACTGGAAATATCTATCAAGGAGAAAAAATTGTTTAAAAAATAAGACTAATAAACAGATGTTGTCTTTCTTCTCTATTATATAGAGTGGAGGATATGTACTTGGTTTTAAAATAGACCCTGTAGAGAAACTACAGGAGGCAGTGAAAGAGATTAATTCACTTCACAAAGTTTATTCAGCTAATCCTATATTTGGAGTGGATTATGAAATGGAAGAAAAGGTACTTCATTTGTTTATTTTAAATTAAATACTGTGTTAGCAATAATATATTAAACATATTAGATATGTGAATTTTATTAATACAGTGTTATAATTTGCAGCCTCAACCCCTTGAAGACCTAACAGTGGAGCAGGTTCCAGATGATGTGGAAATAGAAGCTGATGAACATACAGATGCTTTTGTGGTAAGTGGCTCCACAAAAAACCAGAAAAATAGAATCATGCTTGTTTGGTTATTCAGATTTAAGCAATGTACAGCTGTAATCCTCTATTAAAGATAAGCTGCAACTGTACTTTCTATATTTAAAACACATCTACATGCCTTTTATTAAACATCCTGATTATTACAGGAATTTATTCCATGTATGAATTTTTAATTTAAGAACAAACTATTATTCAAAATAAATAGTAGTAGATATTTAAAATTATTGACTGCAAGGGTAGATGGCACATGTTTTCAAATGTTAGCCTTGATGAATTGACCATTGACACGTTTTCTCACCAGTCTCTGAAATTTGGTAAATTATCAGGCCTAGCATGAATGTTATTTCCACTCCTTTTAATTTTGCAGGCTTTTACTAACACAGATAAAAGCTCTTGTTTTTCCTTTCCTTCTTTCCTAGCTTTTTGGTTTCTTTCTTTTCATTTTGGCACGTTTTTATTCAGTCTTCAGCACATTTGAAGACATACCTTTTCCTTAAATGGAGATCTGTTTGCTCTGTCGCTGTCTTTATCACCTGAATTAAGTAACTGTGCTTTGTACATTCTCAAACAAAAACTGGAAGTTGAAAATGGTTAGAAGGCTGTTGCTGTAGGAGACACAGATTGCCCGTGACCCAAGGAGCATCTACATACCAATATTCCACAATACTTGACACAGCAGGAAAGCACTTTCTTTGCTGCCCCTCACCAGTCCACAGGGGCAGCTGAAGAAAGACTGGGATCTTTTTGATAAATAAGATCTAGAACCTGCTGATCCAGAAATTTCTAAAGTGTGGATATTTTCATATTTTCAGAGATCTGATAACCCTAAATTTTAGCCTTAATTTCCACCCACACAGAATAGGAAAGCTGGTATCTCTTTCCCACATCTCTGTTGAGTTGTCCCCTTACTCTCTGTTCTGTTCTTAGATTGACTGTGATGTCAACTGAATTTTGATACTATACATTTTAAGCTAGTTCTTGAGGTTGAATAGTAAAAAGTGCTGTACATGAGGCAAAAAAATACCAGGATGCTTTTAGTTGAATTCATATCAATATTCCCATATAAAGTGTTTGTCAGTGTAACAAATGTAATACAAAAATGTTGCCATTTAAAAAATCTTTATTATGATGGAAAATTCAAAGACTGGTATTTAATGAAAAATAATCCAGTGGTATCTAATCTATAATTCAAAATAGAAACTCTTGTTAAAACACTTTCATAAATTATTTTAACATCGAAGTAAAACCCATATAGACTGGATTATTGTGGAAGATCTACCCTATACAGTTTTGACACCAAAGAATTATTAGCAGATGTGATTTTTAAGACTTCTTTTTCAAAGGTTCTTTTTTGTTTTCCTTTGCAGGCTTATTTTGCTGATGAAAACAAGGTAAGGATATACTTTTTCATACTATCAAATTCATATTGATAAAATGGGATTATGAAATTAAAAAGTGCCTTTTGCTTTATTTTATTTCATATGTCATGTATTCAAAAAGCAACACGATCGGGAGCCTGTTTTTTCAGAAGAACTGGGACTTGCAATAGAGAAGCTAAAGGATGGATTCACACTCCAGGGACTCTGGGAAGTAATGACCTGATTTAGATTGGCACAAGTTTGTTTCTTAAGCAGGGTGAAACTCTCAGTTCCTGCTGTAGAAGATAATTTAGAAATATCGTAGTAGCAGAGAAAGAACATGCCTAAGCTAAAGAGCAGGCAAATATTATATAATAAGTCCTCAGGCTATTTCATAAAAGAAGAATTATTCAAAAACCCTGTACACGTAAGAGCTTTGCGTTCCTTGTGTTGTCTGTGTAAGCAGTGGGAGGAGAGCCCTCTGAGGCAGCCGGGGCGGGGCGCAGCTGCTGCGGGATGCGCTGCCCCCTGCAGGCCCCCTCGCTCGGGGCTGTCGGGACCTGTGAACTCCCTCTGCCACTGGGAGCACCTGGGAGTCCCTCCGCACGGCATGGCAGTGCCTTTTGACACACCTGTAACCTCTGCCGCTTTCAGCATTGTCCTTTTTTTCCCTCCCTTGACAACACAAATTCGGCCATGGTGTTTCAGACACCATTTTATGGCAGGTAGCCACCAATTTTTTTATAACTTAATGGCTTCTGTGTTTTTGTACTGCCCTTTGGCTGCCAGGACCAGACACTGCTTGCCATTTTACACAGCACGATGTCAGAAAAGTAAGCCTCCTCTTTTTCTGCACATGGAGACTACTGTCTGACACAGGGCAGTGTGAGGTATGCAGTTGAATGCTCAATTTCTAGTATTCATGTATTTATATAGAGTGATGTACTTTCATATAATGATTATGTTTGAATTAAATTTCCATAACTTTTTTAATGATTTGCAACACAGAAATACCATCACATATAGAACATTTTGTATGTATGCATATTGGCTGTGTTATTGATAGATTTAAGAAAAAGCAATTCTGTTCCAAATAATAGCTTTCATATCTCATAATTTTGCTAAATGTTCAGCACGTACTATTCCAAGTATTTAATTTTAATCAATTTATCCTCATAGAGTTGTTTGTTTGTTTGTTTTTGCTAGAGCACTTTTTAAAGCAATGATCTGTAAAACAGGGCACATGCAGATAGCTTCTGTGTGTGTCATTAGACCTTTTATGATGTTATGTGTTATATAGAAATGAGTCATTTATTGTTTAAAGGAAGACACAGCTGTTACGTTTTCTAGTGAGATAAAACCTCTGTGCTGTTTTCTATAAATGGAAAAAAGTCAAATGAGATCTCCTCAGCTGTTCTTTCAGCAGCTGACTGTTAAAGTAACTGTGGTGTGAATGTAATACTGGTGTTTGTAGAAAATCTTTCAAAGTATATATTTTAATGATATACTACCTATATTGAAAAGCAGTCATTACTTCAATAAACTTTAATAATATTATATATTGTTGTAAATTTTGCATTCAAGTAGTTGTGTTTTGATCCTGTTTCAATTACATTTAAAGAACATTTTACCATATGGGTGGAGACTTCAATTTGAATTATTTTGGAAAGCAAAACTTTACCTGAAATAACATATATTTTATGTCTAAACAGTAGTGCTTGGTTTAAAACCAAATGGATATTAAGAAGCAGCCCAAAATTTTGAGGTCTTTCAGAATCATTATTTCAGAATATTTAGTAACATGTATCTGTGCAATCTTGCTCATAGCTGTCTCACTGAGGTCAGATTCTGCTATCCTTACTCATGTCAAATAATTTATTACATTGCACATAATCTTACTGATTCAATGTGAAGAATGATGGCAAAACCTGATCATAGTGACTAAGAGCAACAGTTGCTTCTTTCAGTCTTTGACAGCTGCAAGAGCAACTCTGTTTTTCCAAACTGTCCATCCCAAATTCCAACCTGTAAGAGTATGTACCTATATTTAGCAAGTCAGATTAAGTTGCAGAGGCTTCAAGCAGGGCAAAAAGCACATTGGTCTGCCTTTTTTACAGACAAACCTTTGGGCAGACAACAGCTAAAGCTTTCTCCTCCCTCCCCTTTCCCAAGTGTTTGCGAAATGGATTCCCAAAGGGAACTCACTGAAGAGCTCAGACTTTACCAATCCACCCTCCTTCAGGATGGCCTCAAGGAACTCCTTGAAGAGAAAAAGTTTGTAGATTGCTCTCTAAAAGCTGGTGACAGAAGCCTGCCTTGCCACAGATTGATTCTGTCGGCATGTAGCCCTTATTTTCGTGAGTATTTCTTATCTGAGCAAAATGAAGAGAAAAAGAAGGAGGTAGTTCTAGATAACGTTGACCCCAACATCCTGGATATGATTATCAAATACCTTTATTCAGCAAGTATTGATCTCAATGATTCTAATGTGCAAGATATTTTTGCTTTGGCCAGTCGCTTTCAGATCCCTTCTGTATTCACTGTGTGCGTCTCCTATCTTCAGAAGAGGCTTGCTGTTGGTAACTGTCTGGCCATCCTGCGGTTAGGTGTTCTTCTTGATTGCCCAAGACTTGCATTTTCTGCCCGTGATTTTGTTTCAGATCATTTTGTGCAGATCTGCCAAGAAGAGGACTTCATGCAGCTTGCCCCGCATGAACTTATCTCAGTTATTTCACCTGACAGTTTAAACGTAGAGAAGGAAGAACTGGTATTTGAAGCAGTAATGAGATGGGTCCGAACAGACAAGGAGAACAGAGTAAAGAGCCTGGGGGAAATTTTTGACTGCATACGTTTTCGTCTAATGCCAGAAAAATATTTCAAAGAACAGGTTGAGAAGGATGATATAATTAAAAGCAACTCAGACCTTCAGAAAAAAGTAAAGATTATTAAGGATGCTTTTGCTGGAAAACTGCCTGACTCCAGCAAAAGCACAGAAAAATCATCCAAAGGGGAGGTGAATGGTGATGTAGGAGATGAAGATTTACTGCCTGGCTATCTAAATGACCTTCCCAGGCATGGCATGTTCGTCAAAGACCTGATTCTTCTGGTTAATGACACTGCTGCAGTAGCCTATGATCCTCTTGAAAATGAATGCTACCTAGCAGCCCTCGCAGAACAGATTCCCAGAAATCATTCCAGTATAGTCACCAAACAAAATCAGGTCTATATTGTTGGAGGACTCTATGTGGAAGAGGAGAACAAGGATCAGCCTTTCCAGTCATACTTCTTCCAGGTACAGTCTTTATAATTGTTGGTATAACAATAATAGGTGCTTATAAGAGTTACTGAAAAGTGTTCTGAGTCTCTGCCAGTGGGTTGTCTAGTCTCTTTGTATGGTGATGGAGAGAAAGTTATTTTTGTCTCAGAGACAGAGATGAAACTGAGGGACTTGCATCTTCTTTTTCAGGATTAGCCCCTGGTATGATCTCAGAAAGTATTAAAAAGATTTGTATATTCTATCTAGGCACTGGCTCTCATGAAGGCCCAGATTTTTCATGGTACAGATGTCTCAATTTAGGTCTAATAATATTTTTGTAAAATACTTTTTGTGTATTTTTGTTAACTTTGATGAAAGTTAGAGTGCTTTAGCTGATTTAGATCTGATGAGATGTCTTTATTTTTTGCATCTGAAATACTTTCATGACAGCAGTAATTTGTGTATTTTAAATGCAATTTCTGTTACTAAGACTGCAGAAGTCCTTTTTGTCATATCTACACTTGAAAGCCTAAGGGCCATATAAATATGTAATTTAGAGACAGAAGGGTTTTTTTTTCTCAGCAAAGTGTGTCAGTACACAAAATACCGTGTTTAAACTGAGAGTAATTGTAGCTTTGTAAATCTGTATGATATAAGGCTGATTAGTACTAACTGTAACTTCACAATATATTTCAGGAAAATTAGGAAGAATGTGGTTTGTCATGCTTATGCCATAAACTAAGTCTGTTGTGTTTTTAGCTACATGCTTTGGTATATATTTAAACTATTTTGTGGTGAATTATGCAATATGGCCACAACCTCTCTTTAGGCACACTGGCCCAAAAGAGTAAAGTCTGGTTTCAATATGAAATAAAGTATAGTAATAAGCAGTGATAGAATTTTGAAGCCTTCAGATATTAAAAAGTGCAAATACAGGAGTTTATAGGAGTATGGCTCACTCATTTCACACACAATAAAAGACTTGGTTTCAGACATTTGTTAAATTGATGAGAGGGAAGTCTTAGGGGAGGGACTAATGCTGTTTCATTTCCTTATGTAGGTATAAAACACTAATCACTGAAGTGAAAAACTTGTTACAGAAATATTCTTCCCATAGAAATAGCACATTGGTGTAGTGATGTGTATTTAGTCCAGAGCTGAATAAATCTCAGGCTACAAGAAAGGGGCCTCTGAGAGACTAAACCTCAAGACTGATACTAAAAATAGATGAAGTTTTCAAAATTCTACTTTATATGTCAACATCCATTTCCTGAAATCATGTTCACACAAATAGAGTTGTATGGCACTGACTCTGCTAGATCTCAGCACAAGGAAGCATGGGTGGGTGGAAGACACCATTCATTAGGAAACTAATGAAACTAAACTAGGGAGGGGCAGGTTGTTCAGGCAAGCAGAATTGCTGTTGAGAGACACTAAGTGCCAATAGATAAGTTCTGTGGAACAATATTAATTGTATGGATTTTTACCCTTTGCCTTTCCTAACCCTTCCTGTTCTGATGCTCTTTCAGCTGGACAGCATTGCTGGTGAGTGGGTTGCCCTTCCTCCACTGCCGTCAGCCAGGTGTCTCTTTGGGCTGGGAGAGTCAGACAACAAGATCTATGTAATAGCAGGCAAGGACCTTCGCACTGAGGAGTCACTAGATTCAGTATTGTGCTATGACCCTGTGTATGTTTCAAATTTAATTATGCCCACTGATATATAGATGACCAATTGTTAGTTGAAAAAACCTAAAAGTGATCTTCTTGTTCCAGGGCAATGAAATGGGGTGAGATCAAAAAGCTGCCCATCAAAGTATATGGCCATGCAACTATCTCAAACAATGGATTGATATATTGTCTTGGTGGAAAAACTGATGATAAGTGAGTTTCTAAGTCTTTTTATGACAATTAATAACATTATCTTCTTGGTCCTTAATAGATAATATGTCCTCACACTCAGAAATTAGGGTTTCCTTTTCTGCCTATCTGGATTAAGGTTCCTAACAGTCTGGTAGAGGGGAACACATTATGGTATGTAGGATATATTTTTTGGTGATACGGTAAATTACATATAAATTGTAATTCAACTTGCTATTTTAATAACCATACTTATTTCCAAGGCAAATTTTATTTACATTGCAGACAGATTACTAATACTTAGCTATGAGGACCATCACTGAAAGCATTCTTTTCTTTCAGATAGAAATACCTAGGTGCACTGGAATTATGGTCTCAGTTTTTCCAGTTTTCTGACCTGTGATACCTGTTACACCTTAATGGGTATGACATTAGGAAAATGAAATTTCCATTCACACTGATCATGTGGTGGTAATTTTTAAGTGTTTTTAAAGGGGATATTTAAGATATTTAAGTTTGTCATATAAGCCAAAGCACCATCATAATCTTTTCTTTACATAACCTTTGCTATATATTCCTCCACAAATCCATCTGAATACAATATGCTGGGAAATGTTGTCTTTCTCCTCAAAGGTACTATGAAATGGCTGACCTGTGTAATGTAAACCACATTTGATTTAGTCCTATGGATGCAAGTAGAGCTTTATAGACATTGCAAGGATTCTCAGATTAGGTACAAGAAAGGATCTCCAAGAGAAGGAAGGTAGTATAGATAAACCCATACAGTCTACCTTAATTAGATCTACTTGGAACAAGTCAGAAGTTCGTTAGAAATGATCACTGCTTTTCTTTTTGCTCCGCAGGAAATGCACTAATAGATTATTTGTGTACAATCCCAAGAAAGGAGACTGGAGAGACCTGGCTCCAATGAAAGTGCCTCGCTCAATGTTTGGAACAGCCATCCATAAGGGCAAGATTGTCATTGCAGGTGGTGTCACTGAAGAAGGCCTTACTGCATCTGTTGAAGCTTTTGACCTGACCACCAATAAGTGAGTGCAATATTCAAGCTATTTGAATTAAGTGTTTTATCATCTAGTCTTTTAGGAGCTCTGAGGTAAGAGACATAAAGCTGTTCAGGTACCCATACTTCCACTGAGACATTTGGTCTACAGTCACATTTTCAGCAACAGCAGCAGCCGTTCACAGAGCAGGTCTCTAGACATTTTTCCTGCACCCACACACACTCAAATTATTATGCTAATGCCACTTGAAATAAATACGCATTTTGGAAACCATAGGGGAAAACAAGAATAAGTGGGGAACAATATGTCTGTGTGAAGCATATTACTGAAGAATCAGTGACTCTGTAAGAAGTTGTTCCTGGGAAAAGATGTCTTAACAGTGTAATTGTGTCACACTTAGCAGTTGCAGAAGTCTCTGAGGG